CCGGATCAACATTCTCAGGCTACCGGGGGACGTAGGTTGCATGAGGCACGTACAGGGCTTCGGTTAGCGCGGGGAGTAGTCGCATGAGGCGTGTAAACAGCTCAGGTACGGGAGAGTGTAGGTGCATGAGACGGTAACCAGCTCAGGATACGGGGGAGTCAGGTCATAGGGGGAGTTTACAGGCTCAAGGTCCACGGGGGAAGTACCGGCTGCATGAAGGAGCAGTAACAGCTCAGGTAGCGAGGGGAGTGTTAAAAGTGCAGACAGGTACAGGCTCAGTTACGAAGGGGAGTGTAGGTGCAGCGGTAACAGCTTAGTACGGGGGGGAGTGTAGGTTTGCAAGAGGCGCGTGAACAGCTCAGAGTAGGGGAAGTAGCTGCAGTTGAGGCGCGTAACAGGACCTACAGGTGACGGGGGCAGTGTAGGTTCCAATGAAAGGGCCAGTAACAGCTCAGTCCGGGGGGAGTGTACTTGCAGAGGGCGCAGATACAGCTCAGGCTGACGGGGGAGTGTAGGTTCATGAAAGCACTAGTAACGAATCAGGTTACGAGGGGAGTGTAGCTTGCATGAGCGCGTAAGCAGCTCAGGTCACGGGGGAGTGTATGGATTCATGGAAGCAGCTAACACTCAGGTGACAGAAGGGGAGTGTAGGCTGCCATGAGGTCGGTAAGCTCAGCTCAGGTAGCGCGGTGGAGTGTAGAAATAGACAAACGAGGCGGTAACCAGCTGGCAGGTAGCCGGTGGGTGCCGGGAGTTAATGTTAGAGACGTAACCATCTTCGCGACGACTTCGATGTTTCCACCGCCATCTAACGAGTCAGATGGAGAATATTGTTACGCGACTTCCTGCTTCATACTGTTATCTGGACATAAAAGCCACATGTGACAAAACATACGACTAGACAATAATAATAATAATTATATACTATATATATATACTATATATATATATATAGCAATATATATACATGATACTATACATATACATACAGTATACATATACATGATAAAACACTCACACTTACATATGCATACTACATATACAGGTATACATATTACAATACATATACATAAGTTACATATACATATGACATATACCATATACATATCAGTATACAACACTATCATACCTATACATATATCATAGTACATTAATATAGCATAGTACATATACACAGCATATACTATATATCATTATAATAAAACACCATATACATATACATATATCATATACATATAACAACCATATATCATATACATCTACATATACATATACAATAATACATATAATACACTACAATATAAACATATACATATACATATACATATACATATACATATCATAACGCTACATAAAACAACAACGACACTCCATACATATAGGGTGCATATACATATTAGACAAGCTATACACTATACAGCGCGATGACTGACAGTATATCAGTGGTGAAGATATAACATATATCAGGGATATATACATATATAACATATACCATAAGTACAATATATAAGCAAAGATATAACATATATAACATAAGATAAAAAAAGCATATATAATATAACACATATAACATGATCATAGAAACAAAATATATCCTACCGATAACGCAGCGTAGTACATAGTGCATGATGTGTCATCGTGTATCGTGTATTCGCTGTCAAACCATAAAGAGAATAGCGGCATAGTAGCATGATCAGAAAGATTGATAAATAGTGTAATTGTATGTGTAAAAGTGAAAAATGTGTATAGTCAGATCAACATATAATAAAATGTAATAAGAGAATAAGAGAGTATAATAAAATGTAATAAGAGAAACTACACATTAAAAAAGAAGATATATAAGTTGATAAACGGGAAGGGAAGGAAAGGGAAAGATGGGGTGAGAGTAAGGGTAAGGGAATATAAGAGTGAAAGAAGAAGAGAAAGAAGAAGGAAGATGGAGAGTGAAGAGATTATATATTATGAGTAGATTATCATATACATGATATATATGTATGGGGATGGATATTTGATAATAGAGAATGTAAATAGGTATATATAGAGAGAATATTAAAGAAGTATGATCGACCTATGAAGTAGTATAAAAAAAAAGAGAATGAAAATGAATAGCTGGTAAGTGAATGATGTGTAATGGTAAGATAAATAAGGATGTTAAAATAGGTATATAATGTGATAAAGTGTAATGATGAAATTATGGATGGTATATCTACTATGTATTAGGAATGTTATATGTAAAGGTACTATAAGTATAATAGTATATAAATGTATAGAATGTATAGATGTATAAGTATGTACTAAAACAGTAATAATGTATATTGTATAAATGGATACAATATGAAAAATAACAGTGTAAGTAATGATGGGTATTATGTATAAATGTATAATGTATATGTATAAGTGATATTATGATTTATATGTATAAATCAGGTAATATGGTATATGTATATGTATATGTACTATGTATATGTATACTATGTGCAGTTATTAACTGTATATGTACATTATAGTCTATATTGTATATTGTAACATGTATTAGTTGATATGTATAGTGTCTTTGAATGGTAAACTGTAGTACTGTATTGTAGAAGGGGGAGAAGAAGAAGAAGAAGAAGAAGAAGAAGAAGAAGAAGAAGAAGAAGAAGAAGAAGAGTGTGGGTTAGACCATGGATTAGCAGGCGCCTTGACTTTGGTCTCTACGACCAGCTTCTGGTGGAGCTCTGGAACGAGGACCAAGGTGCATTCTAGAACTTCATGAGGATGCCCCCCGAGATGTACGATGAGCTGCTACGGAGAGTTGGTCTTCGCATCACCAATATATACGGATATTATATATATTATATAGGTTATTATACAGGTTTTTACCACGTCACCGATATTCGCAACTAGCACGCAACTAGCACGCAGGTCCAATACAACTACAACGCAACTTGTAAGTTTTGAACGCAACTCAAACGCAACTCGTAAGTTCTGCACGCAACTCACACGCAACTCGTACGCAGGTGATCGTAGATATTGTGGGATCATAAGTTCAGTTCGCAATCCACACGCAACCCACACGCAACTCACACGCAACCCATAGGTTGAATAGGTTAGAAATTGACAAAATTGTTGATTTGGGTTGCGTTTGGTGCGTATAAAAACATTTTTTTATACGCAACTCATAGGTTTCAGCATACGCTATGGTGTGAGGGCACCATAAGCTACACTATATCAAGAGCCTATAAAGAAAGTATAAGATGCCTTTTTTATACGCTCTTGACCATATACATGAAGTAGGTTTAACTTCACTAATAAATAATAATTAGGTGGTCTATGCATCAAGTACCATGCCTTACCATTAATAGCATGTGGATTTACAGAAATCAGATTAGCTACCTCCGTATAGAACACCTGTTGAACCTTTTCCTGGCCAGAGCAAAGCGACAACGAAAGTAGCTATCTCAAGTCTATCTCAATTAATTACAGGAAATAATAGGACAAGCTCCAAAAAGGACCCGACAGTTAAGTAAAACATCTACAGTAGGACGAAATTAATCTAGTTTTCTTATGTGCTCAAATGCGATCGTAGACTAGGCCCATAGCTGTTTTTTACTTATATATACGTTTAGTAACTTAATTGGCTTTCACTGCTGGCATATATTCACATATTAAACAAAACCAAGTTGTACACAAACAAACCTGTCCACAATAGATATAAACGTACAGGTAATACTTTTTAGAATAAATTCTTCATTCCTGATCTCTACATCTAGGGTTCGCTGTGTGAGGAAACTGCCGCAGGATGAGAAGTGGGAAGTATTATTAGAGAAGTATCTTTAACTTTGAATTATGCTTTAGCAGAGACTTGGTGTAAGTTAAATAGCTAGATATACTGTTTTCTACCTCAATTATTTACAACTAACATTTTACAGAAAACTTGGAATTGTTCCTAAATCGATACATATTGATATTGATGGATTGCATAGATACCCCGCGTTACGTAAGTAATGCATCTCAACGAATAAAAAAGTTCGTAACGCGAAAACGCCTAACGTGAATCGCATCTTCTTCTTGACTGTCATTATATAATTAGAGACGCGTTCCTAAGCAGAATCATTCCGCTAAAACGTATTGTTAGCTGGTTGGGTATTTATTACGTGTATATAAATTCTATTTACGGGGATGAAGCACGCCACAGTTTGAGTAGAAACGCCACTGAAAAAGTTACGCGAAAGCGAATTTTCGTTATGTATCGCGAGTAAAGTGGTCATAATTTACAAATTACGTGCATGCAAATCTTCCTAAACCGGGTTGTCTCGTATACCCCCGGTTACGTAACGCGGGGCATTCCTGTACGCAATTGCTGCACACAGTTAGCCTACTATGTCACCGGTCTATTTACAATAGTAAGCTAACTGGGTGTAATTACATATCTCACAACGGGCAACGATGCCCGTTACCTTGCACGAGCAGGAGCGCTGTAAAAACTCGCGCCGCGTGTTGTATCCGCGACCGCAGCACATACTGTCGCACGTCGCGCCTTCCGACAACCTTCCCGCATCGACGCCATTACCGCAGCCATTACACCTGCGACCCGTTGTGCCTGCGCTGTATTTACTTTGCGAGCAGAAATCCGGCGACCGCTCGGCGAAGAGCAGCGTCTTCTTGCTCGTATGCGCATTCTTGCGGTGCGCGGTTCTTCTCCGCTCTTTCTTCTTCGTCTTCTTCGTCTTCTTCAACGTTTTCTTTTTCTTCTTGCCGCGCGGTCTGTTCGTGGCCGTAGCGTAGTGCGTGTCCCACAGAGCGTTCTCGTACTTCGCCTTCAGATCCCTGGCGACGACGGGCAGCTCTCTGAGTTGCAACCAGCAGGTCTTGACAGTGCATGAGCCGCTCAGACCCACGCACTTACACGTCCTCCGAGTTAGATTGCGCCTGACGGCCTGCAAGGACAGCAAAGAAATTAGTGGCACGATGAGACGACGGCAGTAGTGCTAGGGAAATTGTTGTATCAGAATAGGAAAGGCCGATGCAGGTATTAATCATAATGCTAAGCATACACGCCGTTTCAAATAACACGCGGGTTGCAGACATGCTTTTGTTAAAAAGCTTTGCGTCTGCAAGGTGAAGTTCAGTGAGTAGTTTAGCCAACAGAATCGACGTTTTTGTTTTTGGTTGGCCGCCATCTATAGTCGAACCGTGCCTCCGATAAAGCTTTTGACTGATCAGAATTGGCAGGCTTATAGGTCTACATCACAAGACCTGTCCCACCTCCAAAAATGCAATGGCCATATTTTAAAATGGCCAGATGGCCGGATTTTTTCATCGTGTGGACGCGTGTTATTTTGCTCATGCAGACGCGGCTTCTATGTTAGTATTTATATTCGGCATTGCACCTGTGCCGTTATACCGGGTAAGCGTGTATGCCTGCGCGTATACCTTCCTTAGAAATAGCCGCAGCCTGCTAACTTAAAAGAATTAATACATAGACATGCTATGGTGGTCGGAATACTATATAGTGGTGCATAGTGAGCGTACGGTTAAAACCCATTAAGCTCGTGTAGACAGAGGCAAATAAGGAAGGAAAATTAGTATATTATTATGGCAACAGCAACAAACGCGGAAACAAAACCAACCCTATGCCAGAAAACATTTCCGTTCCAATGCAAATGTAAAATCAAGTAAATACCGAAACAAGCAAAACGATCGGAGAATGCATCGCCTGTGGTTGACGGTCTGAGAAACTATGGCTGTTGCTAGGCGAACAGATAGTGGAAGGGTATAACAAGGTTAATTTGGCTGCTTTGCTAACTGCAATTAATGATGCTAACTAATGTTGCGTTGGCATTGACATAGAATGTACGAACTTTTACAGTGAACATACGGCCGTCACACGATGCATGGCTACAACCTTTTAGCACTTTAATGAATAAGTAAATTAATTGAAGACATCTTTCTGCTTTCAAAAAAATCATATTTTATAAATATAATAATTTGGAAGACTTGAGGGCTTCTGATAAATCAGTAAACTGTTTGGAAACTTTTAAAGCAAATATTATTTTACTTGAGTTAACCCAAACGGTTTCAAAAATATCGAATTCTGAATTCGCGTGGACCCGCTGACTTTTTAAACTTGACCACCATTATCGAATCTAGGAGGGCTAATCCGAACCTGGCCATATATCTCCAATATGATTAATTTAGGGGCGAAGGTCATTAGATTTGTAGCGTCAGTGTTGACAGAGTCGCGGAGACAGGGACTCAGACTCATGCACCGTCGAATGATATCCCACTTTATCTGCCATTGGCAAGTACGTTAAAAACGTTATAGCAAAACCAAGATACCCAGATTCGCATGATTGATGTCGCGGTTAAACGACTTCCATATAGCTGCCGACTAGTACTGTTGTTACATGACTAACAAATTGTCGGCTAATGATTTATATGTTAAAACGCAATTTCACGGAAGGTGCATCTAGGCACTTGTTATGTTTTTATTATATTATGGCCATGAGTTCATTGAATCGTGAATATGCAATATGCAAGATAATACGAAAAATTACCCCAAAAAATACTTGCCAATCCCAAGAACACATTATTGAAGCAGTATGAATAGAAGTAATTCTTAAATACCTACCACTAAATACATAATGGTAAAGTATTAAGCCGTTTGACTAACCAATAGATAGCAACTGGTATGGTAAACTGCAAAAAATGTTACTTATTTCTATAAATTATATATATATATATATATATATATATATATATATATATATTATATATATATATAAATATTTGTACTTTCTCACAAGCGCTCGCTCACGCACGTACGTCCGTACGCGCCCATGCACGCATGCGCACGTACACGTGCACGTGCACACACTCGAGCACACGGATGCACGCACGTGCATACAGGGGTAGAGATGCATCCGCTTATACTGACACACCCATGGTCACCCGGACACACGCGCGCGCCCACGCACACGCATGTGCCCGCTGCCGTATGCGCGTGTGTGTATGCGCGCGTGCGGGCGTATGTGTGCAGCGCAGTCAAGTGTAGTGCGTGGAATCATAGATATACCACCCACCCATATCCCAAGTCGGTTGTTGTGAAGTTGTACGTCTGCGTGTCGCCCCGCTGCACCAGCCTTCATAAACCTCTTCGTAAACGCTACACCGTATTTAATGTTGTCTCCGCAGCCGCCGTATTTCAGTTGCTGCCGCTGCGTTTCGAGAGCACTCGACTTGTCGCATGAACACCGGTCGAGGTCGCCACTACTGCATGCTCTGCTCACGTGATAGGTCAGGGATGCAGCCGATATGGCATGAAGGAATGCCGCTTCTTTGAATCCTGCAAAAAGCATCGGAGACGTTAAGGGTTATAGCCTTAAAAACGAAAATAATTTAAACGTGTTCCTGAAACTAAATTATTTTGTTAATAAGTAGCATTAAAGTATTCACAACCTATAGAAATATAACAAATCGTTGTGCCTTTTCCCGGTTAAGCCTATTATTCAGGTTTTCCGAATATGGTAACTTCTCATTCATAATGGGCTTGGGCATTTGTTAGATTTTATTTATTAGTAGAAACAGAATAAATGGCATAATATGCTAAAACATGCAAGTCTGCGGTCGTAAGCGCAAGCAACGTTACGTCTGTGCTCAACTGCGTCTCGGGAAATACGACATTTTTACAGATTGTTTCGCCTAAAATAGCCGTATGTATCTGATACGCCATGGCAAATATCGTGCGCTGTGCCGAAAGACAGAGCGCACTTGTTGGCAGTCTGTCAGTTTGGGCATTAATGGGCTTCAGGCGTCTTACTGACAGCGTCTGTCAGCATCGCGGGCGGCACACAGGCACCGACGCCCAGGGCAGCAGCCGTCAGACACGGTCATTTGTGTAGCAGCTTCGCAGCATCATTCCCGATCCCATACGGCATCTGAATGCTTACGGAATTCTGCCGATTATTTTTTATCCAAGGTTATATAATATATATATACACTCACGCATGCGCGCACGCGCACGCACGAACGCACACACACATACACATACACACATATATATATATTTATTTATTTATAGAGAGAAAGCGAGACATCTTCACACAATCTAACGATTAATCTTGTATTTTTTTCAGAATAGAAGTTTTCTAAATATTTCTGGGTGATTAAATAAAACCCTGTATCAACTAATAAATCAATAAAATGTCACATAGCAATAGGCACATATCCTGTGTGGAGCTTCGTTTTAATTCAGTTCAGTGATTAGAGTGAAATAATAACAATAAATATTAACTTATATATAAACTTGTAAAATAATATTACCTTTTATGTCTCTCCCCTACCTTCATGATATATTGCTTAAATATTACCAGAAGTAACACAATTAAAATGTAATTAATATGTTATATACGAAAAACCAGTATATCCTACACTATAGGTGTGCATTTTAATTGGCTTGAATGTGCTTTAGGTGAGACTGTGTGTGTGCGTGTGTGTGTGTGTGTGTGTGCGTGCGTGCGTGCGTGCGTGCGTGCGTGCGTGCGTGCGTGCGTGTGTTTGTGTGTGAGTGCGTGCGTGCGTGTGTGTGTGTGTGTGTGTGTGTGTGTGTGTGTGTGTGTGTGTGTGTGTGTGTGTGTGTGTGTGTGTGT